GAACACAGCTACTCAATACATGGGAAGGGGAGGGGGATAGATTGATAACCTTTATGTAGCTGAATTTCAATTAATTACAAATATTTACTTCTTCACTCACGAGTTTTTAATTCACGGAACATGAACAAGCTAATAAAGAATCACTAATATTCTCATTTGCTGATACCTTGCACAAATATTTATTTGGTCTCGCTGAGATAGCACTGGTCTTATTAATTTCCTTTTTATTTTATTTATGCTTTTGTTTTTTTAAGCTTACTTCGCTTATCGATCAGAGGTACTCTCGAATACAACTATTGATTTAGGGATGTAAAACAAAGGCGGATAAACACTCCTTGGCGGCATCGACGCTGATTCTTTGATATTTGTACGCCGTTTTTTACAAATAAATATTTATTGTAAATTATGATTTATTAGACACGAATAAACATTTTAAACCTAATTGATAGAAGACGCCCCCAATCAATTCATAAGCATTTTATAAATTAAAACTGGTTTTTAATTTATGCCTCATTTAATTTGTTAAAATCTAACATTATGTTACTTTTAAAAATCTGGAAGAACTTTAAAAATCTAGTGAGGTGAGCGAATCAACACAACTTTCACTTACTACCATACTTTGAGTAATACAGGTATTTTAATGTATAAATAAATAAATGTAAAAAATTGTATATTTTATTATATATTTATTTAAACAAATTAATTATTATGTATTTTCTCTTTCATCTAAATAGTTAAATTTATGGGGTTTTCACAGGGAGAGAACATAGAACAGATTGCAGCAAATATAATTGTAAAATGTAACTTTCGCTTACAGTGGTTTTAAGAAGAGGAAAGCAATCAAAAATCTTAGGAGAGAAAGGGGTTCATACGCCGTGGACATGGGGGGGGGGATGGGCACCTCTGCTTCTTTGTTTCTCTGTACTATGTTACTAGCTGTGATTTATTCTTTACTTAATTATAAACTTCATTCATAGCCATTATATTTAAGCATTTTTTATTACTATTGGCAATCTGAAATAATTATTTTAAATAAACAAAAGTAGAGATACTTTAGAGGACAAAGTTTTAAAAATTCCGTATTTAAGCCTTACCAGACAATCATAATGATTGAATAGGCGGGATTTAAAGGTGGATAGAGTATTGGAATAACGGATGTAGGAGGAGATAGAGTTGGATAGGGACGAGGATCGGGTAATGAATGATATGTCGAATGCCGCGGATCGATGGGCCTTAGTTTATAGATCTGGAGATCTAGAGTGGGTATTGTGAGAATGAACCAAGTATTTGAATTGAAGGAGTTCGGAGATGGATGATGGTCGGCGGGATTAGATAATTTGTAGAAGGAAGGATGTCAGGGAAATATGACGGTAGGAAGCAAGGGTGCCCATACTTCCCAAGGTCGATGGCGCAAGAACCTACCACCTCTTTCCTCCCAAGATATTTTATTAATTACATTTTCTTGAAAACAAAGCAAGCTAAGATAGAATTAGAAAAATCGTAGTTCATACGCCATGAACACCTCTTTTTTACGCCGTCACACGTTAAATCACACTTTCTGATGTATGATCCATGTTTTCCGTTTGTCCCTTAGTCCGAAAATTCATGACCCCGTCGAAATTTGTTCCCCTCAAAAATTCAAACAACCGTCAAAATATGTCTCCCTCAAAAATTTTGATGGCGCAAATGGAACCCCCTTCTGGGCACCCCTGGTAGGAAGGATAAAGCCACTTCAACTCTTCATAAAAACGGGTGGCAGAGGCGTCCCATGGGATGCCGAAGATGAAATGTACAAAGCAATTTTTCGTTTAACATAGTTTATTTTATTTTCTTCCAGAGTAATTAACGTTAAAAAAAAAAAAGAATTCCTCCCGAAAATCCGTCACCCACACCCAAGACATTGCCTTGGCAATATTTACAACTAAGCAGACTGTTTAAAGACGTTGGCTCATGGCCTTATTTCTGAAGGTTTTTTTTTGTTTTAACTGCCAGTATCTTCACGCCTGTTCATAAAAAAAGTTTGATTATCGCAGACGATGCAATAAATAAAAGATAATTTAACGTCAAGTAGCTGCTCAAGCTCTATTGCCGGAATATTTTCTTTTGTAATCATTATCCACATAAACTATGAGAGACAGTAAATATTTGGCTATTCGTCTTAATATAGCCACTGTTTTTAGCCTACAAGTTGCAGCACCCCTTATGGAACATGTCATTGGAGCATGATTCTAATATCCGAGGTGCAAAAAAAAAAGAATCACAAACACGTTCAATAGCAATTAATCAAACATATTTGTCAGCATAGGATGAGAAGTATTTTATTAGTGAAACCTCAATATATCGAATTCCTTGATAAATCGAGGTTTTATCTTCTCTCTTCTTTAACTTTCTCATTGTGTCTTCCTGCATTGAGTTAGGTTAATGCTACCCAAGATCTCCATCTTGCTCTGGCTCTCCCAAGAGTTGTCATCTCCTACAATGTCTTTCCTCTCATTTGTCCCAATTTAGAAAGCCTTGGTCTTCCTTTTGGTTTAGTGCCTACTGGTCTTGCTTCCATAAATTTTCATGGGTCACAATCAGGGCTGCGATTAGCTGAAAATTCAAGTGTATTATCATTTGTAATTCGATATATTATCTATAAAAAAAATGTATTGTCATCGCCGGTACTTCAATAATTATTCAATTAGTGATGATGACATTGTTTGTCATCTAAAATCTTACTGATGTGGGTGTTCTAGAAAAATACTTCTGCTTGGCATTTTCTTGAATAATTTTCAGGAAAATACAAATATTCTTTGTTTTTTGGCAAAGATAACTTCCAAATATCCAACAATTGATTTATTTGTTGAATTTACATGTTAACGTTCCTGGACGTTTACTCCCATCTTCAGAACTTGTTTTCTTGTCGATTCATGGCTTAAAAGGAGCTAGTTAAAAAAATAATGCATGTTACAATTCATGTTAGAGTTGCATTGTTACATTAATTTTGTAATTATCTTAAATGTGAGATGCTCCTTTGTCTTGTTTTAAATTTATGCTATAGATAAATTACAGTATATTATATCCAGAGCATCAACATTCCTATAGACCAATGATTGGTTGACTGCTATGGGGGATACTACTGTTGTTCTATTGTTTTTTGTGATGTGTATGACTTCAAGTAATTTTCTATTGTTGTTTTTTGGTTCTTTGCCTAATATCAGTGGTTTATTGAAATTAAATTTGTGATGTAATTTTATGCTGTGATGTGCTAAAGCTGTGGCGTTTATTTTTTTTTTGTATTTTTGCAGCTGGTAATGTGTTGTGAAATACTGATCCCTAAGTGTTTGAATGTTTCCCCAATGTAGCTTTTGGAGGCAGTTTTGACAATTTAATTTATAAATTACATTTTTGTTGTCTAACAAGTCTTTTCTGTCTTTTGTATTGGTGATGTACCGTTTTTTATCATTGTAATGCCCAAGTTTGATATCTGGTATGTCATAATTTTTAAACACTTCCTTAATTTTGTTTTTAAGTTCAGGTATGTATGCCTTCTTCCCAACAAAAAGAAGAAATAGAAAAGTACAAATATCCATAATACCCTAGTCCAGAGGAACGAAGAGTGCTACTGTCCATGGCTCAGAACGAGGAAAAAAAATTAATGAATGTCTTATACATAACAGGGGAATATATTTATTTTTTTTATTTATCTCTAACTTCCATGTCTCTGGCATACATGAGAGTGGGAGATTGTTCTAGAAGTACAAACCATGAAACTAGTCCACTAATTTCAACCCACCCAAGCCAAAAATAATAAAGTCAACAATTCTGTAATACATTCCTTCATATCGCTAAGAGCTCTGATCAGTTATTGCTTTTCTATCAATTTTGAATTCATTAAATAGATAATAATCGCTGGTTGAACTTAAAGATTTTAAATACTATTAAGCTCTATTTATCTCCTGCAAATATTCTTATGCTCGACCCAAGGTTGAACAAAGTGTTTAGTTCATTGAATATTTATCAAGTTTCTATTTTAATTTTTGGAGTTTTATCTTGTTAATACCTACAATCAATTGGAAAAAAGGTTATTTTGGCAATTTGAGGTCTTATCAAGTGTCTTGAGTTTTGAGCTCCTTTAGATTTTCCAACATGGATGTTGTAATTATTTCTAATTGTTTGTAGATTAAGATATGTTTATACCCATTATCAATTGAACTAACTTCAGTTATGAATTGAAACATTAATACTATTTATGCTAGTTAATTCTATAACATTAAGATTTTCACTTTGTTTAATATATTTTATTTTATTGTATCTTAATATATTTTATTGCTTAATATATCTGATGAAAATGTTGCCTAATTTACTAATAAAGATTCTTAACAATACTTATATATCACTTAAATTTAAAACAACTATGGACAATGAACTTTAGATTATTGGAATGTAATGAAGTATACAATAAATTTATATTTAAACCTTAGAACGAAAAATAATTAAAAAAAAAAAAAAAAAATCCTATCAATAGACATGATACAATGAATGTACAGGTTTATCTCTATTATCCTATGGAGATTGTTCATATTTTTTTATTATTATTCTATCATCATTATCCAAATAAATTAAAATATAAGTTTGAGGAACCAACTTAGACTGTGTAGGATCTTCAACACAGGATAATAGGGCAGATATTGTCATCTTATAACACAATCAATGTTTCTTTGAAAGAATTAAGTTATAAGTAAAAAAAGTAATTGAAATGGTATGAAAATGGTATGTTGGGGTTACTATTAAATTATTACAGAAAAGTAAATCACTAAATAAATTGTTTTAATTTAATGGTGAAAGACGCAAAATATAAATCAATATATTTTTTTGGATAAAAATTCTAATAATTTCTAAATTAATAATAATGATTACAAAGTATAACCCTTAGGAGAGTTTTTTTAGATGTTATTGTTACGATAAGTTGAATAATTGATTTATAGCAATACTATTATTATTGTAAAATATTTCAGTTTACATACTTCACATAACCACCGGCTGTGTTCTGTCGTTTCCATCTCCAGTAATACCCAAACTAAACCTGACCAAAGATGAGCAGTCACTCATCAGCTCCCTCTATTCACTGGGAGCTACGCCAGGACCTCTTGTTCTCGCCTTTGGACTCGACACCATTGGAAGAAAAGGTACCCTCTACGTTGTGTGGCTCTTGTACATGGGTTCTTGGGCCATGCTGTGGTCCTCCGAGAAAATAATTATTGTTTATCTTGGGAGGCTTATAGCAGGACTAGGATTTGCTGGAGCATTTGCTGGAACTTCAGTCTATATTGCTGAAATAGCTGATGTAAGTAGACGTCATCATTCAATATAAATATCATTAAAATTCACCTCAGTTATGAAGTTAAAGTAAATGAGAAATGCGATGTTCTGGTATTATCAACAAAATAGAGATAGTAAATTGTAAGTTGTCTCTTTTTTTATTTTTTCTAGTCAATAATATTCTCAAGAAATTAAAAGTTTTGACTTCAATGGATTTTATTCATAAAAATGTTTCCGTTTCTACCATTTTTTCTCTCGTAAGTAATTAAATGTTTCCAATTTCTTGTAATTATGATGTTAGTAAAAATACAAGTTTTTTCGATCTCCTGTCCCACAATTCAATTTACTCTTTATTTTATAATCTTTACTTTGTATATACATATCGGCGCTTGGGCATCATCGGCATATCTGAAAGAATGCTCATTTATATATATACATTATGCTCAATTAATATTCTTTTATACAATCTCTACTTGTCTATAAACAAAATTTTGTTTACATAATTTACAATAATTGTATGTTATTCCTATTTACATAATGTCTTTTTCTTTAAAAATAATTCTAGCTGTATTGATGTCTCTTATCCATGTTGAATAGACAATGGTAACATTATTTTAAAATACAATTTATATTTAATTGATATATAAAATTATCAAAATACTTAAAAACAAATAAATAATAAATTAAAGGATCTAACAACACTAATTCTCATTTAAAAAATTTAAACAATTAAAACCTGTCATTTTATAACCTAATGCAATATAAATTATTACATTATATTAAAACAATATTTTATCTAATTTATTTATTTACAGTTTTATTCGTAGTAACCTAATTAAATTAAAAGATTTATTTCTATTAATTTAATCCTTTTTTATTTTTTAGATATATTTTACCCGTGATTATTAGTTTTAATTATTTGATGATTAGTATTTTTTTTTTAGTATACTAATTTTTCCGTAGTCAGTGTGTAGTTGAGAAATTAGATAATGTCTGAAGTAAACTGGGTTAATTATATTTACAAGATTTTTTTATGCCAAAATGAAATATTAGTTTTATTTTTTAGAATGACTCCAGAGGTCCTCTTAATTCAATTTCTCAAGTATTTTTGGCGATTGGATTTCTTGTGGAATATTGTGCTGGACCATATGTCTCTTACGAAATGCTTGTTTTTATTTCCTTCTGTGTAACAGCATCGTTTGGAATTGTATTTTTTTTCGCTCCTGAGTCGCCTTACTATCTCATAGCAAAGGGTAAAAAGACAGAAGCCTTCAAGGTATTGAAGACATTACGAGGGAACTTGACTGATGAAAGTATTAATGCTGAAATTAAAGAAATTGAGGTATGTATCTCCATAGTAATATTTTCAAATATTCTAACAATGTTTTGAAAATTTATCATTTTTGTGAAAATTAAAGTAATTTAATGAGATTGTAGATTATATCAATTAGTCAGCTTATATCAGATCGAATATGATGGAAAAGCCTAAGTAATTAAGAATCACTTGATTTAAAACAGTCTTTATAAATTAATACATCACTTTCGAGCTAAAATTTCAGAATTAATTTCAAATTAAATTTTGTAAATTTACAACTTTTCATTAAAATTATCTGCCATGATGATCAAGAAAACTTGTTGGCACAAATTAGGCTGTTATTAAATTATTATAGTAAACCTTCCGCTTAGTTTCACACTGATCTTCAGTGATTGTCGATAGACAGAAAATTAAGAACAAAAATAAAAAAGTAGTTGCATTTACCTTTTACGTTGATAGTAGCTTATTACCTAATAACTTTTACTTTGATTGATAATGAAGCAGTATTTAGAAAATTAAATGAATCCAAATGGACCGATTAGGTGAAATGGTATATTTTATTTGAACCATGATTTACCTAAATTGGTTATTATTGGTCATTGTATATTATTATTATTAATTCCAACTAACTTCCTTCAATAATAATAATACAGTTTAAAATAATAGTTTTTTGAGAAAATAGAGGGAGAAGAAAAATCCTAGTTTCGACCCTGATGTGATATACTTTAAGGCTAGATTTATTAAGTGTCTTGAGGCCTTGAGGAACTGAGGATATAAGAGTGTTGTCCACTTGAACATTACTAAGTTTAGCAGTGCTGGTTCAAATCCAGCTTACTTCAATGGGTTCTACAACCTGGATGGGTCTTGGCCTCCTCTAAGAGCTTTTGCTATCCAGCTCGGTCCAGTTCTGTTGGAGAATTATCGTCCTCGAGTCTGTAGTCACACAGTCGATCCATCTCAACCTGGATCTTCCTCTTCTCCTTGTTAGGTCCAGCACTCCCTCCATAATTTTTCTGGGTATTCTATTTTCATCCATGTGTGCCACATGTCCTGCCCAACTGAGCCTGCCTACCTTGATGAACTGTACTACATCAGTGTCTCCGTAAAAGCTGTAGAGTTTATGGTTCCTCCTCCATAATGCCTCAAATGCCTATGGGCCTGTAAAAGAGCGATAGGAAAGAATTGGGGACTAAAACCAAAAATGGTTTACTGGCTGTACACAACAACAGTCAGACCTATCATATTTTACTCAGCTTTGCTATGGTGGCACAAAGCAAAGACTGTGGCCAACTTTTCCTTATTAGGAAAGATTCAAAGGCTTGCTTGTATAATGATAACAGGCGCGATGAGCACGACACCGACGGCTGCCATGGAGGTGATGCTGAGCATGCCTCCGCTACAGCTGGAGGTGGAGGCTCGGGCAACAAATACATTGTACAGATTAAGCAAGTCAACTTACTGATCACCAGTCCCTTGTCAGGGAGGACACACAATACTGCTGAACTGGATTGGATGTGAAGGAGTACTAGCAATGCACTCTGACACTCTAATCCGAGAATATCAGGACCGAAAATATAAGGTTGGGATAGATAGCAGCAGAAGTCATAAACAAAATAGTGGAATAAATTGCTATACAGATGGCTCTCTAACAGCCTTCGGCTCTGGAGCAGGAATCTATCGCAAAGATATAAAAGAAAAAATGTCTATACCACTTGGCAGGTATGCTTCAGTGTTTCAATCTGAGATACTGGCAATCTGCCACTATGTACAAAACCTACTGCAAACCAATGTGACTGAGAAAAAGATTACCATCTACACTGTGACAGTCAGGCAGCAATAGGTGCTCTTGACAAGTATTATGTTTATTCAAAGGTCGTTAAGGAATGCAATAGAGCACTTAACGAGCTATCTGAGCACAACAGAGTTGCAGTGGAGTGGGTGCCAGGTCACTCTGGCATACCAGCCAACGAGGTGGCTGATGAGCTAGCCAGATTGGGCTCAGATACCATTCCTGCAACTCCCGAGCCTGTCTGTGGAATCAGCCTCAGTACTGCCAAGGGCAGGATCAGGGAGATCTATGGGAACAAATTTAGTAATTACTGGACCGACAAGAAACAGAGACATTCGAAGCTGTTCCTTGAAGGTCCATGTAAAAAAAGAAGTAAACAGCTACTGAACATGGACAGAGCAGCCCTTAAAAAGCTTACAGCTATATATACAGGTCACTGTAAGTTAAATAATCATATGTTCAATCTCCGAGTAATGACGAATCCGCTATGCAGATTCTGTCAGAAGGAGAATGAAACAGCTTTTCACATCATATGCAGATGTGATAGATTTATAAGGCTGAGACTGGTGGTATTTGGGGAGGAACAGATGGATCTCCCCAGAAGATATGAGTCAGTCAATCCAACCAGCCTACTTAGATATGGGGAAGCGACAGGATTAACGTTTTAAACAAAATGACTAACTGGAATTGGACCCAGTAGGGGTCGACGTGCTTAAGGCCAACAAATATAAAAAAAAAAAAAAAAAAAAAAAAAAAAAAAAAAAAAAAATATGGTTCCTCCTTCTCCATGTTTCACCTTCTCTAATAGGGCCATATATTCTTCTCAATATTTTTCTTTCAAAAATTAGAAGATCTTTCTCATCTGCCTCAGTTAGTGTCCAGGTTTGTGAAGCTTACATAAGAATCGGTCTTATCAGAGACTTGTACAGCTGTACCTTGGTTTCTCTGTTGAGTAGGCCGCTCTTCATCTACCTTGTAAGCCCAAAATAGCACCGGTTGGCTGTCGTGGTCCGCTGGCTAATTTCGAGGGGCACATTGTTTGAAGAGGTAACAACCGTTCCCAGATATACAAAATTTGGGACCCTTTCAAAGGATATTTCCTATTGTGAGAGCTGTGACTTGTGGGGGCATTCACTAGGTTATTCTCACCATTACCAACATATATTTGGTTTTGGACTCGTTGATTTCTAGTTCAATATTCAGCGCTGCCGACTGAAGAGTAAGAAAGGCATTCTCTATAGTTTTCTTTGATCTTGCCACTATTTCGACAATGTTATTTTTGGTACGCTTCGATGAATAATGGTTCCTGAGGTCTGTATTCCTGAATCTCGAACTGCCTCCTCCAAAGCCAGTATGAAAAGCAGGCATGCCAATCCATCTCCTTGGCGTAGACCTTTCTCCTTCCAAAACTCCCTAGAGTGATCTCCCTGAACTTTGACCGTGCTGCAGATTCCTACCATGGTCATCTTTACCAATCTGGTCAAATCTGGCCTAGGCAGGTTGAAATTTATTTCATGGCAGAAACCCTTTCGACCTTTCCACTCTGGTTAGAATAGAGTTAGTTATCTCTAGAACAACCTTTTCCACTCCTCCCGTATACCAGAAAAGGTGTCAAGTTAATTGAAATAATTTAGAAACTCGGAAAAACAAATATATTTTTTTTCGTTATAGATTTTATCCTTTTTTTTTTTTACAAAGTTATAAGCAGCTGAAAATTATTTATTTTTTTTATTATAGTTTATGATTAATTTTTATTTTATCGTTAGTATACATTTTCTTTTTATATCTCCTGTGTATGTAGCAGTCAAAAGTAATTAGAAAAATTGAAAACATGTTTGTATTATCTCAATGTGACCATAAAAGTAAAATTTTCTTTTTCTTTTTAAATAAATTAAGATTTTTTCCATAAATAAATCAGAGTTAAATTATTGATATGAATTCAGGAATCAAGTGATTATTGTTCATCAATTACACATATTTCATTGGTATAGGCTGTGATGAAGGTAATGTAATTTAGAACCCTAGATGTTAAAGAGTATAGAGCGTAAATGGGGACTCTGCAGCCTCTAGGCCTCATGAGGTCTCCATGAGCTAGCTGCAGTCTCCAGACATTTTTATGCAATATTTATTAATCTAGCACTAGAATTAATTAATATTTAATTATTTAGGTTAAGAAAATTAATAGAAATAAGTCGAATATATTTATATGGGTGGATGTATTTAATGATAAATAAAAATTGCTACAGTAAATAAAATAAAATGTTGAGGCATCCATTAGCACTGCCTAACCTTACTGTGGCCTCTAATGATAAAAAGGTTCCCAGCCTATGGTAAAGAGTAAAACTTCTTTTGAAATTTTGGGTGATTGGATAAAATAAATTTTATAACTTACATATGAAACATTGTTTATTAATTAATGTTTTTTGGTAATTTGCAACATTATGGCTGTTTTAGGACCAATTCAGCCGTGAGAATGAAAGTGGTACTGGCCTTAAAAAGCTTATGAGTCCCCCTGTTCTGAAAGCCTTGGCGATGTCACTTTTTCTCATCATTCTGCAACAGGGAAGTGGTATTAATGCAGTATTAGCTTATGTTCAACCAATTTTTCAAAAAGCCAACCTGAGCTTGGATGACACAGTTGTTCCGATGCTAGTTGGTTTGACAAATTTGGTTTCTTCATTACCTGTTCCTCTTCTTGTCGGAAAATTTGGAGTAAAGATAGTCTTGGTAACTTGTGGAGTAGCAATGGGCATTTGTTTGGTAAGTAATAAAATTATTTTTTTAGTCCTCTATATGCATATGAGACTAAAAATTGAATAATTATACTATTCATTAATAAGATCACTATTTTTTATTTCTCTTCTATCAGTAAACTTGATGGTAATTTCTTTCATACTTCACACTGTTTATAATTAATACCAATCGTATATTACATGCCTGTTGCATGTAATACTTGCATACATACTTTTAAGTGCGCAAATAGGGAATAATACAAAAGATGAATTTAAACTATAGGAATAATAGGATAGAAGTATTTAATATAACATAAGCTGATACTAATCCATGATTCATTGAGTCCAGGTGAACTTTTCCAGCAATGACTAAGGAAGTTCCAAATGTTCATTTAACAGAAAATTCATAAATATCAAATGCTGTTTTAAAATATAGTAATAATAAATACTGTCTTAAAAGTACTTAAGGAAGTATTATTTTATTATGATATGAGTTGAGAATTATGCTTGATTTTTTTTTTTAAGTCCCAGTTGGATCTTTTGTGATTTAACCCTTTGACTGCGGGAACTGATTCGCATGTTTCTACCAGATGATGCATTCTGAAATCCAAAACGACGTCCAGAAAAACGGATTTTTTACATAAATTTGTTTTTGATGCTATGTTGATTCACCTGTAAGATCTAAGCTTTCAAAAATACATTTTAAACTTTTTTATTCAACTTTTAATAAATGGAACATATCCCAGCCGCATATAGCAAAATGCAAAATTAAAGCGACTTTGCTTTCTTGCATATTTGCTCATTTCTGTCAAACAAAATAACTAAAAATTAGCATAAAATAACTGCAAGGGATCATAAAAATTAAACTACATTATTTATGAAAAAATGACACCGACGGCAGGATTTGAATTATATATTTCTTTGTATTTATAAATTTTTATATATGTATGTGTATATATATATATATATATATATATATATATATATATATATATATATATATATTGTTTTTAGGTGGGTGAAAAAATGATAAAATAACTAAAGTATCATTTTAATTCTTTATATTTTACATTTATATATTTATATATTATATTATATATATGTATGTGTGTGTGTGAATAAATCTGCAACTGATACAACAAAAGCAAAATATGAGATCAAATCAGATGGGCTGTAGAGATCAAATGGGATAGAGAAATCTACAGCCTGTATTTTTCTCTCTGTTTGCTTATGCAGATGATTTGTGGTTTTCGGAAGCAATGGACGAAACCTACAATTCTACCTCCGCATACTTCAGGAAGAATTAAATAAGATAAATATGCAAATAAATGTGTAAAAAACCAAAACTATGAGGAAATCTTCCTCCACAACACAAGAAAATCTTCTTTCAACAAGGAAGGAGACAGAATAGTACACTTGAGTGGAGTTCCATTGGAACAAATGAAAAATTTTAAATACCTCAGTGCGCACATCAATGAACATGGATGGATTGACGGAGAATTAAAGGAAAGATTAAAGTCTGCTTCAGGTAAGGTGCTTCAACGCCATCAAGAAAGGATTCTTGAACAAAAGAGAAGTGAGCAAGGAGACCAAAACGACACTGTACTAAAATACTTTCCTCCCAATAATGACCTACTTCAGCGAGTCACGGACCCTCACCACAAAACGCATTAGTCAGATTAATGCCACGGAGATGCGATTCCTGCGCATGGTCGAAGGAAAAACAAAGAGAGATCGCAAAAGGAAATCCATTATAAGGAAAAATCTAAACGTAAGATCAGCCAAAACTGTGATGGAGAAAAATAGTTTGAGACCAGGACAGCGTTGGAAAGTAACGTTGAGGGAAGAAGACCTCAGGGAAGGCCCAGAAAGAACTGGGAGGTTAGTGTCTGGAGGAGGAGGAGACGGCAGTTGGCTCAAGATCGAGAGTTGTTGATTCGGCTCTACAAGAGGGCTCCTCACTTCGCTCAGCAGTAGAAGAGGAAACGATTAAGAAGAGAAGAAGAATCATTTCAATTCTGTATATTTTTACATTTATTAATTTTTACTATTAAATTTTAATTTCTGTATATTTTTACATTTATATATTACATTACATATATGTATGTGTGTGTGTGTGTGTGTGTGAATAAATCTGCAACTGATAGCTTCCAAATGATCACAATCCGAAACGACAACACTGAGTCAGCTGCAGAGGACTAATGAATGCACCGACCAAGCCACAAGTCAAATGGTGGGGGGGGGACTTGTCCCTAACTGTTTAAGTGGCAACTGCCCAGGCTGGAAAGACATATATCCCGTCCCCACCAGTGACCCAACTCACTACCGGGAAGGCATATATCCCGTCCCCACCAGTGACCCAACTCACTACCGGGAAGGCATATATCCCGTCCCCACCAGTGACCCAACTCACTACCGGGAAGGCATATATCCCATCCCCACCAGTGACTGATCTGTTAATTGGAAGGCATGCGTCCGTCCGCAGTCAAAGGGTTAAACAAAACTAACTTTTACATATTCTGTTTTGAGTTTATTTTTTCTCTGTAGATAAACTACAAAACTTTTAATTTTTTTAGGGTCTGATAAATTAAATTTTGAAATGTGTTATTTCATTACTTTTTTATGTCATACTGTCAGTCCACTGATTATGGTATTCGTACCATTTTTTAAAAATGGCATAGAATAATGTTCTGCTATTTTAATGTTTTTTGCTAACATTTTATCTAATCAAATATTAATAATTTTAATATATTTCAAAATTTTATAAATTATTTAAAAATCAGAACGTTAAATTCATAAACAGCCTACAAAAAATTATGATATGATTTTCTAGTAATATATATAATGTTTTTAATTATATATTATACCATAATTATTTAAGTATATTATGAAATGAATTATGTTTCGAGTTTAACTTTAAAAATTGGAATGTTACTAATTTTCCAATTTTTGAAAACAAAATATATTGGAGTATTTACAATTGCATAATATATAGTTCCTATTATATTTTTATCATGATTTTGTTTTATATTTTACCTGGCAAATATTTTTATGTTCAAATTTTTTTTCTTCTTAAGATTGAAGATTGGTTTATTTAACATACAAATAAACTTTAAATTTAAAGAATTGATTGTTATTTATTTTGTTATATGTTTTCAGAATTTGTTGGGATTGTATTTCTACTTGTTGTATGGATATTATGATGTCACCAGCTTAGAATTTCTTCCTGTTGTTAGTGTAATTCTGTTCAATGTATTCTTTTGCATTGGTAAGTTATTTCTTCCTTTTTACATAACAAATCAATTTAAATTTTGAAGTAGTAGAAGTGGTACTGGCATTTGATAGAAGGGAGGATAGAACTAATCCAGCAAGTGGGTCCAAATCCTCAAAAATTAAATATTAATGGACCTAGGTGGGAATCTAACCCATACCATTCCGTACTGAGAATACTGGAACTCTCACATCACATACTGTGCCACTACTCTTTTTATTTTGAATTAATAATTCACCTATTGTAAAATGGTAATTTTTAAATATCCCTTATCCAAATGTTATTTGTTTTAAAGTCTAATTCCTCTCTTGAACAATATTTTTTAAGTTGATTTAATAGTGTCTAATTTTATCTACTACCTATAAGATAACTTACATGAGGGAGGTATGTAACTCAGAGAAATCTGTAACTATAACTTGTCAAATATGGTACTAAAAAGTATGGCAATAAAACAAATTATTTTGACCAATCATTTCTCTTAAACCCTCCCATGAAAGGAAAATTTATACTTGCCATTATACTATTTTATTACAAAACTATGGTAAATACTTTGAACAATAATGCTATAATGAATTAATATATCTAATCAAAATTGTAGAACAATTTCAGGTGAGTCCATATAATCCATTAAATAGATGAAGTGTCGGTTGCTTAAAAAATATTTTAATTTTAAAAATGAGCTCTCCAAGCCAGCAGATGTTGCTGGTGTGTACTTCATGGAAAGAATATCTGCAAGTTCTCAGCCTTCCTTTATGGAGGCTTTCATCCCTTCCTCATTGGCAGCTAAATTTGTTATCTCCTTCCATCCGTAATTCCTGAAGAGCAGTGTTTTTGTGAGAAAATTGCAGAATATCTTCTTGTTCTCTTTGTAGAAACTGGTATCTGCATCAATCCTCTTCTTGTAGAGATAGTTTGAGCTTGCAACTTAAGGCATGAATATGAAACAGAAAAATTATAGAACAGTGAATAACTTCAGTAGAAGAGAAGATAGAAAGTATGTTTTTTTGAAAAATTATAGAACAATGAATAACTTCAGTAGAAGAGAAGATAGAAAGTATGTGTTTTTGAAAAATTATAGAACAGTGAATAACTTCAGTTGAAGAGAAGATAGAAAGTATGTTTTTTTGAAAAATTATAGAACAGTGAATAACTTCAGTAGAAGAGAAGATAGAAAGTATGTTTTTTTGAAAAATTATAGAACAGTGAATAACTTCAGTAGAAGAGAAGATAGAAAGTATGTTCTTGTTCTTGATGATGTATTAGAAGTTTCATCTCCAGTCACTAGTGGTACAACTATCTATAATAGTGGTGGCCTTCGAGGATTATTAACATTAACTCACTTGGAGACGTATTTTTTTTCCCTCAAGCTTGTTAAAAACAAGGCAAAATTTGGCACAGAGATATAATTTCCTCCTAAATTTAGTAAATTATAGCATTTTATCATAATATCATAAAATATGGCATTTAAGGGACTGTGGTCGTGGCAAAGGAAAGAATAGTATGGTCATCATTTTATTAGATGGAAACTAAATTAAAAAAAATGTTTTAGTCAATGTGTATGTTAAGAAAATATCGAGTAAGGTTTGTTATTTAAAATAAAGTAAAAAAAAAAAAGATTTTTTGAAATATTTATTTAAACACTAAATCAGATTTTGTGTTGTTTTGAAAACATTATGGTTGTTTTGATTCCTTTTGCTGTTTTTACATGACTTTTGACTCAATGAAAATAATTTTAGCAATTTTTGTCTAACTAGTTATGCTAATATGATGCCATTGTATAAAAATGTATGATATTCTCATCTCTCTAACATCGTGGTCATTCTATTTGAGTTTATCTTTGTCAATTCAATTAAACTATTCATTTCTAATTCGAGATACCTTTGGATGTTGCAAAACACCGTCTGTTTACTTTTATTTACCTATTCTAGAAGGTTTGTACATAAATTATTCAGTTATTTCAATACTTCTTAGAAAAGATACATATTGTTGATTTTTAGAACATTTTTTCTGTAAAGTATGATTCAAAATATTTTTTTGTTAACCCAATTACCTACTTTGTGGATAAATTTAGGTAACCTTTTTCCTTTTACATTTGTTTGTCTTATGTATATCTAAGGAGAAGTTAGTCAGGAGTGTAATTAAGAGTGGAGATTAATATAATTCCAAACGTATTATATATGTAACTTTTGATTACATTGCCGGACTAACTTCTGCTTAAATTAGAGCTTCAGTCAATAATTTCCATTCCGTATTAATGTATCATTGAACGTTACCATATTCCAATTGAATTAACTGGTTGATATTTGATCACTACTAAGATCACTATTTATGTAGTTTATAAACCTTTCCTAGGTCTTTTTCCACATCCCATCAAGGTAGAGGTACCTATCCACAAGGTAAAACAATTTAAGAATCAAAATGTAATAAAACAGCCTGAGGCTATGTCCTAATTCATGGACAATGGATGCTGAATCGAGTGATGAAAAACTCAAATGAAAATAATATAGTTGTATGTCGTAATTAAAAATTTGAAGTTCAATTAGCACATCCAGCTACATTATTATTTTTTTCATTATAGTGCAGACACTATTGCCAACCAGTTAGAATGTTTCCTCAATTAGGATATAGCCCAATGGACTAGAAATTAGGTGAGTCTAGGATTCCACTCTGCCAGTTCAAATTTCCTTGCCTTAAACGTCTAGTATAGCCATATATAAATATATCTAGTACAGCCATATATAAATAGTATTTTTTCAGAAAAATCCTTTTTTTTTTTAATATTTCACATTCTTGTCATGAAATTTCATTTTCTCGTATTGTTTTAAGTATTAGAAAATACAGTATCATTGACATATGTTTATTTCCAATTCAGAAATATTAGAACTTTTTCCCTTTTATAATAGGCAACACATATATTTTAAGAAAAATAAATAAGTATTGTATGTTTCGACTAAAATTAATTATTGTTACTAAGTAACTTAACACGATCACTATAATGTAACCAATATTAATTTATTTTAATAAAAATCAGTTGGTATATGCTGTTAATATTATTAAAATATCAGGTTCTGGATCACTCACTTGGGTTGTGATAGCTGATGTTTTCCCATCATCGGTGAAGGGGACAGCAACTGCGATCTGTTCCAGCTTCAGTGCTCTGTTTGGATTTGGAGTAATAGAAGCTTTCATTTTATTACTAAACAATTGGGGATTTGAAAATACATTTGTGTTGTAAGTATTATCTATCTATATATATATATTTAAATACTTCACAGAATTATCACCACAACTATTTTATTTTAACTACCTTAAAAAAGTAAAAATCTGCTTAATTATGTCATGAGGATAACTTAATTCAGAAAATGTTTATCATTTACTATATTTTTGTTTTCCAGGTTTGGGTGTATCCTGCTTTTAGGATCTCTTGTCCAGATAATATTTGTTCCAAACACATCAAAAATGACATTTCAGGATATTGAAAAATATTTTGATCGTAAAGCATGAGAAACTGTGCGAAGTTTTTAATTCAACCGAGTGTTGCTCTCTAGTCTTTGACAATCTCATTGTCTACTATCCATTATAAACAAACATGTTATTAACACTATTACAATTATACATATGCATGTTTATATATTTATTTTATATGCGTAACTTTTTTATAGATATATTTAACTTTAAAACTAATAAACAGTTTTATTTAATTGAATAAGAGGTATAAATAAAGAGTAACAATAGCTTGTTATATGAGCTCTTCCTAAAATTGGTTTAATTACAACTGCATCTAGCTTATTGACCAAAAAAATATAAATGAATCTTTTATCATTCATTCATATTAATACAATTCACCTAATTCTTTTGTTTGATAAACTTTACAATAAAGAAGATATTATTAACATTAACAATACAATTGTAAACATGTGATAAAAGACAATTGACCCTTTCTTTCCTTCAATGAAAACCTTGTTATGTTTATGAAAGAGAGAATGAGAAAAAAGTAGTGTGAAAAAAAGTTTGAGACAAATATGAGTAATTCAAGATAAAAAGGAAACTACTACCCTTTAAAAAAATTTAATAGAAAGAAATATTATTAAAATCACAATAATTTGAATTTTAGCCCAGAACCTCTTTAGTTTAAACCACTGGAAATGTTTTTTATGTATTTTCTTTTTTGTCAAAACTATCAAAATTATTGTATATATATTTTTTTAAACCAGTAGACAATTTGATATCACTACCATTCCTTTAATTACAACTATCATTTTGCATTGCATCATTCATATTTTGCAGCTGTCCATCAAATTTATTTCATTTAAGCCCTTTATTTTGGATAAAAACATTAGATCTTCTAATCAAAACAACTAAAAGCTAAAAAATTATCTTTCAAAACTATTCAAGTTCAAAGTTTACATAATTTAAAGTGATTACTCATTCTATTGGAATTGCTAAATATATATTTTAATTTTCAAATCGTAAGTTTTAAACTTAAATGTTTGTTCAGAAAATCTAATATTCAGAAACTATGAATCATCATTTGATTGTTTCTTATACTCCCTCAAATGTTCCTATTATGTAGTACCTGTCAGGATCCATGATATTAAAATGAAAAATTTGTGAATGTAGTTTGGAGTCTATCGCAAAAACATATACATGAGTGTTAGCATCTACTCTATCCATTTACATGCAAATTTCATGATCATAAATTGATGTTTTTTTAATCTTTCATTAGATTATATAATGTTTGTTTTATTTGTATTACTGCTTTATTAATAAGATATTAATTTACTCATAAAATAAATAAATGAACTGATTTGTTATACACTTTTAATATATTATTTCATTTTTTAAAACCCTTTCTTCTCAGATACCCTATTTTAATAACATTTATCCCCCTATACATAAAATTTAAATATTCTTATCCTAAGTGATCTTCAAATATTAGTGATCAGTGAATGATGTCCAGACAAAGGTCTCAAAAAATGGAGTTTTGAAATTAATGTATTTTACTTCGTTCTCTGGATAAGAGTAAACATTAGGTAGTTCCTAGAAGGATGGAGTTATGATCATACAATGAATGCTTTCGTTGTTTGACCATTGTAAAACAATGGAATTCTAAATTTGTATAGTAATGGAATCGCTTAAGCATGTTTTGTAATGAGTATGATCAGAAAGATTGAAAAGAGTCAGACAGATCTTTAGTACTAATGTCGATTGGAGAAAAGATTGGTCTAATAGTAATATTATAGATTGTACTGTATGATACACAACTTACGGGATAGAGGACCCCCAATTCTTGATGAAATGCTTTGAGAAGACCTACAAGGTAGGTCAAATTTCGGCAAATGAATAAACTTTTCTACAACATATATTAATTGTCTATTGAGTGCACCACTGACCGACTTCTCTTTAAAATGGTTTATATCCATGCAATATAACACTTGATATGTCATGTTTCAATGTATGCATCTCATACAGGAGGGTGTTCAGACAAGTACCAGTGCATGGTATAGGGATGTAGGGCCCTAGACTTCAAAAATATCTGAAGGGCAATTGTTTAATTCTATAATCATTAGTTTTTCGATTATTAATCATTTTATAAATGTTGGTATTTTAACGTTGAAATATATGTTAAGAGACAAGTTAAAAGATGGCTAAAAATCTCAGGAAGACAAGGTCTACCGAATCGAATCGGTTGTTGCATAGTAGTCTATAATTTTGACTTGTTATTCTGGGGAACAATATTTTTTTGTTTTGTAAATTATTATTATTTTAAAGTTTCCCTGGTTCATGCTTAATAATATAAATAGGTTCAGAGATAAAATAAAATCGATAAAAACTTGGCCATTAATCCATAAAGAACTAGGACCAACTTGAACAAGGGCCGAAATGGAGGGGGAGCACAAAGGAGGTACTTAACGCTGGCAGCAGAATTTAGTGAGACTGTTCTTCAAACGAAATTTCATATTTTGATTGGATTAAATAAAATTGATCTTTGCTTTTTAATTGGTGTCGACAGAAGGGGTGGGGAATTTAAGCTTGTCCCGTCTGGGAAAAATTCTAGTCCCAGCCCTAACTTGAACAAAACATTTCTTATGTTGTTTGGAGATCAATTAATATTAACTAATGATTTAGGAAAAAAAGTTACTAAAAATCAGGAGATGTAAAATATTAGGGCGCTTTGTGTGGCTATGAATAACGAAATGCAAACAGCTGTTTAGTGAAATTTTCAATTAGGTTATAAAGACAAATTGTAAAATTTCGAAGTTTATTACATTACATCAGTTCTTTTTAAAAGAATTATACTATTTGCTTATGTCTCCGATCATTTTCACTTGTAAACTCTATACCATATGAATAATCTAGGTTATAGGATAATCAATAAAAATATTAGTAAGTCAATTTTGATTATCAGTAAATCACCGAAAACATCTGTCATACATTTAACTAAAAGGTAAAACTTTAAGTTTAATACATTGTTTCCATTCTATGTTCCGCGATGCAAAAGATAAATTTTAAAGAAGTAAAGATAAATAATGTTATGAAAATACATAGATTCAAGATTTCAGTGCGTAATTTACGGGCCTATTTAATATGATTACACACTTTCATAGCTTTAATGTTAAAATAAGATCAAGTTTTAAAGGAATTGAAAAAGTTAGAAAAAGTTTAGGAACAATGCTTTAATTTTAAGTAACTAGAAAAAAAAATGTAAACATCAACAAAAAAAGATTGCTTCACCAGACAAATGCAGAGATTGCAATTTCGTAAACCAATAGGGTTGGCAACACTGATCCTTATCAAGGGAGGTTTTAATTAGTCTCCGTGTTATTCTGGAAGGGTGGTGACAGTTGATTTGGTTTCGAATTGATAATTACTATAATGTCGGTGAACTTTATTGACAGAATTGATCTGTTTTCGAAACGGCCTTCGAAGAAAAAGTCTCAGAGTTCTAGGAAGAACAAAAGCAGTGGACAACTGGAGCTGCCATCTTTGCCTTTGTTAAGTGAAGTTGCCCAATCAGAACATGAAGAACTGTTGGTAAGTAAGCTTAAGCTGTGTTGTGTGGTCTTTGATTTTTCGGATCCTTTAGTTGATGTGAAGGGTAAAGAATCTAAAAGAGCAACTTTGTCGGAGTTGATAGATCATATTTCAACTGGAAAAGGAGTCCATACCCAACAAGTGTACCAAGAAATCTTAAGTATGGTATCCTCCAACCTGTTTCGTGTGTTACCGCCAAAAGAGGTTTCCGATTTCGACCCTGAAGAGGATGATCCGAATTTGGAATCGTCTTGGCCACATTTAGAATTAGTATATGAATTATTATTACAATTTGTGGAATCGCCTGATTTTCAAATATCGTTGGCGAGAAATATTATAAATCATACATTTGTTTCTAAATTATTAGATCTCTTCGATAGTGAAGATCCTCGAGAAAGAGAGTGTCTGAAAACTGTTTTACACCGAATTTACGGAAAGTTTTTATGTCTGAGGCAGTTTATTCGAAAACAAATTTCGAATATATTTTTGACTTTTATATTTGAAACAGAACAATATAATGGAGTGAGCGAATTATTAGAAATATTAGGAAGCATTGTAAATGGCTTTGCCAAACCTTTAAAAACAGAACATAAACAATTTCTAGTCAAAATATTGGTTCCTCTCCACAAACCGAAGTCTTTGACGAGGTATCACGGGCAGTTGGCGTACTGCATTATTCAATATCTTGAAAAAGATTCTTCTTTGACTGAACCGGTGGTTCGTGGATTATTGAAACTATGGCCCAAAACTTTTAGTCAGAAAGAAGTTATGTTTTTGAATGAAATAGAAGAGGTTCTTGATGTGATAGAGTCCGACGAGTTTGCGAAAATACAGGAGCCTCTATTCAAGCAGTTGGCGAAGTGTATGGCAAGTCAGCAATTCCAAATAGCGGAACGAGTTTTGTACTTCTGGAACAATGAATGCGTCATTTCGTTGATGGAAGCAAATGCCTCCGTGATTCTGCCGATTGTAGTTCCTACGTTGCTCAAAATTTCAAAAGAACATTGGAATCCGATGGTCGTTAATTTGTCATATAATGCTTTAAAATTATGCATGGATATGAATAGAAAACTATTCGAGGAATTATCTTCTGTAACTAGACCTAAAGTGAAGCGCTAATATTTCGGATTAAAACAAACATTGTACGGGTATCAACGCCGATGTTTTTTCTTGATCTGATCCTCTCTTGGAGGCTGAATTTGCGATTACCAATGGATTTTTGTTTCTACAAACATTGGTTATTTAACTTTTAAATTCTGAGTTTAAAATTATAATCAAATGAAGAACGTGTAATGAGAGCTGGTTGATGGTGTTCCCACCCTGGAATGAGCTTTCTTGTTGGCTTAATGAATTAGTGGTTAGTTTAAATGTACCCTAGGTTTGTGTAAATAAATTTACCTAATAATTGTTAGTACAATGTTTTATCTGTTGATAGGAAGACTTTTTATTTTTGTATCAATACCTGTATATACATAAATCGTTTTGGTTGGACAATGGCTGATTGTCATTCCTTATTTCACATGTTTCTTGTTTTGTGATATTTTTTAATAAATGTTTTAGTAAGATGAAACTATATATTATTTTATTGTTTAGTTACTTTTGAAGTATTATGTATCTTTATTATATATTTGCTATATGAAATGTGAAAAACTTGTAACTATTATGATTATGATAAGTGACTGATACAAGTACCAACAGATACTTATGGTAATATTAATTATAATCAATAGATTTCATCACATCTATTGCTATTCTATAACTGTTATTGGAAAGGTAATTGATGTCTAACGATATTGATTTATAATCTCATCCTGTTCATTCAGTTTTCAATGTTCATTTATCATTTTAAAATTCCCAAGTAAATCATTTTTGGGTTAGCAATTTAATTTTTTGATATGTTGTGTAATTTCAAAATTTGAAAATAAACATGTTTTAAGTGTCTTGTAAACTGATATCATCTTTTTGGTTGTGATTAGTTATCTTCTACAGTTTCGCTGATAGTTGATTTTATCTGATATAAGAAAAATAATCTTTTCTTTGATTTTAGCAATAAAAACTTTCAAGTATAAAACAATTAGTTTATTTGTTTATCTATTGCTAAAAAAAAAGGAAAAATAATCAAGATCCCATCATTCATGTTAAATAACCAACTTCTTGATTAATTCATTCCTTATTTCCTGAATTTAGTTTTTTCTTTTTTGATTCAATATTCGTTTTTAATTAAGTTAATGAGTAGTTCCTCAAATGGATCCTTAACCTATTGTTGAATTACTTATTTTAAGCAGTTTTTAGAAGCGTTACCTATGGTAGTTTATTTATTTTGTGATTAAGTTATTTTGTTCATATCATGTATATGCCTGTGTATAGTTACGTTATTAAATTGCAAATTTGTATGTATATAATGAATATGTTATTTTCTTTTTTAGTTTGGAAAGATTTAACATCTGTTGATTATTCTTTCCTAAATAGCTTCTGATTTGATTAACTTCAATGACATCCTACATTAATAGGTAAGACATAGAAGAATCTGGTTTTAGAAAAGTTATTTACCTAATGTTACCGAACAAGCCAAATTGATGTTAATGTAAAGACTCCAGTAAGAACAATAAATTATTAATTTTAACAAATTAATTATTTATATAATAAATACTATCTAATAACAGATAAAAAAACTCAATACAACCCATGAAGAGCTTTGGATTCAGTACTTGTAAGAAAGTACTGATCTGGTCAGTGGTTTTGTAAGGAAAAGATTTGGCCAGAATAATGCTCAACGAAAAGGTTTTTCCTCCAATTAACGCTACCCAATAATTGAGGTTGGGTATGCCCCAGAAACTTCTCTTGACCCCGACGTGTATATATTTACTCAAAATAATAATCAACATTTACTATATTTATAACAAAACTTTGCACTTATTAACTCTAGTCATTATGAAGTGTGACTGACTTACCCAAGATAATGGACGAGAGAGCATTTATTCCTAAGATGACTTACACGGCTATTCATGTTGAAGTTATCAGGAAAAACTTCAACCTTCATAACCTAAAAGAATTGCTACAATTTCTTTCCATTGTAATTGACAAGGCATACAGAATCTTTCTATAATGTCCCACTTGTATACTTTTTGGCATAATTCTAGTTATTTTAAAGTAAAATGAATAGTTAAATTAAATTTAAAAAAAAAAAAAGGAAGAATGTTATGAAATGTTATTTTGGACTTTTAGGGCACCCATGATGTTGAAAGACAATAGATCAATGTATAAACTAAAATTGACACTGATATTGCAACACATATGCGTAGAACTTCAGCATACAGTGAAATTGGGAGTTTCGAATGTATATGCTCTCATGAGATTAGACATTTTAACCAAATACAAGTTCACTACTTTTCAAAATAATGTATGAAACTTTCATTATCAAAACTTCAAAATAATGAAAATGTCGCCACTGATGTATAAAGTAAATAAATTGTTTTATTAGTTCTAATTATGCTATATATCATCCTGATTTCATATTGAAAGAATACTGATACTGTTCTATCTTAAATGACCTACTTATTGATGAGACAATTGTATAAAGTTTTATATTTTGTTAATGTTATCTACTGAAAGCAATATGTGTTATATCAACTTTCTGATTAAGACCAACTAGATTCTCCCATTTAAATATGTTATCTAATTTACATTAAAACAATCCCTTTCAACATTAACCCAAACCAATAAAAGCCAAAATCCTACTGTTCCTTATTTGTTAAAAAATCTGCATTATTTTCTGTGTAATAGAGTTTTATGCCTTTCAATGTACTAAAAAAAAAAAAAAAAAACCTAGTAAAATAACACATACATTATAACATAATAACAAACACACACACAAAAAAGATAACGCAGCAAGTAGCTCAATGCAATAAGTCTCTTGACCAGCGCCTCAGCAGTCTTCTGGGCGGATTATATGGATTTGTGGCAGTAGATAGAGCTTGAATAAGTGGATTGGAATTTAGAGTCAGTCTGTCATGAAAATTATTAAAGCGGTCAGTGGCAGTTGCTGCGATGAAATGAGTGTTAAGGTCAGTGTGTAACGTGAGGTTTGAAATATAAAAGGGTGCGCCTACAATTTTCCGAAGGACTTTTGACTGGAATGACTGAATGATTTTTATAGTTGATTTTTTTGCTGTTCCCCATAGTTCGATCCCATATGTCCAAAGTGGTTTAATGATGACTTTGTAAATAGTTAATTTATTAGTCACAGATAATTTAGAACGTCTGTCAAGTAGCCTAGAAAGAAGTAAAGAAAAATAAAACAAAACACATTTTATGTAACTCTAGAATGACACATTTAATGATAAACTGGTACCCGTAGTAGATATATGGGAAATGTTTATAACTTATAAACATAGAGTACAGTATCAATTTTATAAATTGACAATTTATGGAATTCAGAGAAAAGTGTACATTTATAATTTGTCTTGTTTCTGGGCCTGATAAATATAAAATTTAAAATATCTAATTGATTTCTGATGCTGAAGGGTTTACCCTACATTAGCAAGATTAACTACCCAAAAGTCTTCTCTGAGGTATTAACTAAAAGTATTTATGTAACTAATAGAATAGTGATTATCGACAGTGCGTTTTGGAATTGAATGTATTCTGGAGATTAAGAAAAAAAAATTAACCATAAACTGTATAAAGAAAGACTGTATTTTTCACCACATTTATTTTTCATTTCTCCTACACATCCTAAAATATAAACATACATGAATTTAAACATAAACTGTTTGAGAAATAAGTCAAAAGTTTATTTTGTAACAGAGGAATAGAAAGAAAGTTAAAAATTATTTATTGACAATGAAAGAAACCTATTTGCTCTGTTGAGTTTTTGTGTGGTTGTTGAGTTGCAGTGAATCAAACCTCCTCTTTAGGTCCCCCACTATATATTTTGTTATCTTTTTATGTATATATATATTCCCCTTATATAACCATCCTACATTTTACTTACCAATTTTTAGTTGATGCATTTTTGAACATTTTACATTATGTAAGCATATTGTCCTTAACATAAAAACCCATGCGAATTTTATTTTCTGTTTTCTTAGTTGCCTAAATGATTTCTGAATGCCATATAAGCTTTTCAGGATGTAAAAATGAAATTTCATGGTAATTTAAATTTTAGAGTGTACTACAACCTAGAGTGTCTGATTAAATAAATATTATGTTAAAAGGAAAACTGATCCACTTGTTTGGTTATATCCTTCAATAACACTACCATTCACTTTATATTTATTATTGGAAATTTAATAACAAACCATTCATGTGTCTTTTTGGCTGTAACATTCTTTCAGCTTCCTCTATTTCAGTTTTTATAGATGTCTTCATTTGTTATGTTAAAACTTGATAATTTTTTTCTATGTTCATTGTTTGTTTTTCTTTTATGATTTGTAAAGAACCTTATTTATAATAATAAAAATACTTTCTTGTTTATATTTCCCATAACTTACTTTACATGTTGAAATATTCCCTTTTTTTTATTGCATCTATAACTTTTAATGGAATATAACCACAATTTTACCACAAGCCATGGGGAGATCTACGGGGGTAGGGGTTTTCGGGCTGAAGCCCCCCTCCCAAAAATTGTAAAATGTAACCATGTTTTATGGATAAAAATATTAAAAAATTATCTCTTAAAATATTATTGTTCATTTAATCACATTTAAAAGGACTTTAGGAATCACTTAAACACCATTTCATGTAGACAGTTAGTTCATTTCTTTTTTTCCAAAGTAATTATCATTATTTTTATGAAAAAAAAAGCTTTCGGGCTGAAGCCCCCCTCCAAAATTAAATCCTGGATCCGCTAGTGCCACAAGCAATGTATAACCTTATTTAAAATAATCATCCATTGTAGCGCTTGAACCTAAGTGCTACAATAATGATTTGTAACATCCCTTCTATCACAAATTTATTAAACTAATGTCTTTTGCTTAAAATGTTATAATAGATGATTATTTTTTTTTTCTTTAGATATTTTTGATTGTACCACATATAAAAGCAAACGAAATATAGAAGTTAAGGTTTAGAAAATGTAAACAGAGATAATAATAAAAACAAAAGATTATAAACAAAACAGCCAGAATAAAAGTTAGAATTTAATGTTCTTATGTGCTTAGGACTTCATTAAAGTCTGATTTAATTGTTTAGAATAATGAATATGTTTAAAGTTATTCACTGTCCAATTTTTCTACATCTGATTGTTTAAAAAAATATTTGTTTTATCTTCTGTAGAAAGTTCTTGGCATAGTTGACTAATTAATTTGATTAAAAGGCTTATCCAAATCTTCCTAACTTCTTGGCTTTCTACTTATATTTTTGCTTTGAAATACTATTCCGTCAGATACCTTCCCTTGGACACTGGATTGCTTGTTTTGATGTTTACCTCGGTTAGGAGGCTCTCATATAAGCAAAAGTCTCATAGGCTTCTCATTTCTGTTGTGAAATTATTAGCGGACATAAAGAAATGCTAGGATTTTCTAAATGGATTATACTAATTCTTATTATGTTTTATTATTATTATATGTATTAATATTTATTTTGTACTCCCATGGTTTTGCTGTTTGTGAATATTATTAGAATATTCATCCAACAAATTAAATGTGATATAATTCATTATAGGGATTCTTTCCTGTGCTAGCTATTACTATTTTTTTTTTTTGCCATAGGAGATTTAATAGCTCAAATTATTGTCAGATACTTTATTGTGTTTCTGAGTATAGTTTAAAAAGTATATACTCCTGAAGAAACTCTTGTATTATAGGGTCATTCTCAGGTTTAGCTTAGACTCCTCTCTGTTTTAGGTTTATTTATTCCTTGAATCCTATTTTATGAGAGTACAATAAATATAATAATATTGGAAATACTTCACTTTAGCATGCTCTGAGAGTTTCATGACACGTAATGCTATAAAATTGTCGAAGGGCACAATTCATATTTTTGAAATTATTACTGAAGGGTGAGGCTGCATGTTGACTAGTGTGTACGTTGTTGACATTATAGAGTGATTATTTAAAGTACAATTTATCTAACAATATAGGGTATTGTTGGCTTAAATGCTTTCTCTTGTGACGTAAGATACTCTAAGCAAAATGAAAGATACCAGTTTTTTGCTTGTCTATATCTTTATGTTTTAATAAACAGATGCTCCTCGAGCATTGAAGATAACATAACTATGATGGGTTGAGCATTTAAATTAAGATGTGAGTGGGCAACACCTGAACAGACCATAAAGAAGCCATTATTAAAGATATTAAGAAGAGATATAGTAATTTTAAAGTGGTTCGCCATTGAGTTAAATGTATTTTGAGCATAATATATAACTCAAAATGGTGATTGAAAGACGTTTTTGGGACTGATGAAGAGAATCTGTCTTTGTCATTTAATTCTTATTGTCTCAATATTTAGGTACGTGCTTCCTTGAAGAAGTTCTATTATAATGTTTATTTTGGTGAACTGTAGTCTACTGAATCATATAATACATTGCTGATAAAATCCTCCTTAATATTACTTTGACTGTTCTTTTCACTCTTGGTTCTCCTTCCTTTTATCCATCTGATGCTATTAAATAGGTTCTATAATTAACATTAGTTTTTGAAATTAAAAACAAGAATTTCCAAAATGGTATTAATAATCATCCTATTTCCATTTCCTTTAATTTGGTGATATAGTAATTATAATATAAATAATAATGATAGTAGTTTTTTAATACAAGTAGTATAATATTGGCTGATAATTTATTTTATTTTTTTGTGAAAATTACTACGAAGAGTTTTGTTCTGGATAGAATACAATTGTGCTATTTTGTTTCTAGACAATCTGCAGTTTGTTGCATATCCAAAACACGGTCTACTCTTTTTAGGTGTCCTGTACAACATACCTAATTCCTCAATTTTGCTTGGTTTCTCACTTATGAATTTTCAATTTTTATCAATTTCATTTTTATTAGTGCATAACTCATTTATAGGTCACAGCCTCTTGGATAAATCTCTGGTAGTTATCCTGATCCTGTGCAGCAACCAACCAATTCTGAATGCCAAATAGGGTCCTAGCTTCATAAGTAACACCATCTTTCCAGCTGAAGTTTAGGTCCCATGTCGTATGTTGCATTGTCTACTTCTGGGTATCAGCATCCCTTATGAAGGCTATATAACTAGCTGCCTATCTTAGTCTTCATACAGATACATATACAGATGAAATGTTTAATATTTGATTCTTATTCATAAATCTCCAAGTTGGTTCTTCGTCTCCAAGCTGGACCATTACAGACGCCCCCAGAAATCAGTTATAGTATCTCAGGGTTGTCTATCCAAGGTATATATCAACACTGGTTCTATGAGAGTCTTGTTCATTAGTAATTTTGTTCATCTGTTTAACATTTACTTCTGAGAAGACTTCTGTTACCGAAAAGGTAGCAGCTGAATTTTAATCTCAAATGTAATTAAAATGCAACAAGGTCAATGACCAATCAAAGCAATGCAACAATTCGTTGACTCGTTCAGAAGTGTATTAACCAGCTCTTTTTTTTTTTTTTGTCCCCTCACTATATATCTAATCTTTGCAGCTTTGATTTCCTGACTGAACTGTCTCGCACGCTGTTGCTTACATATCTGTGAGATATCTCCTCACTATATCCAGGTCATATGCAATGCCTAGGAATTTCATTATTCATTACACACTTTTCACTAGTTATTGAGATTTATGTGTATGTGTGTTTTATTAAACATTTTTAGAAAAATAGTGCTAGTATTTACATTTTGAAATTTAATTTCTTTCATGTTTAAATATTTTGAACTTTTAAGTCATGATGTTATTTATTTTGTTATGATTAAACTATTTTTCTGAAGATATATAGTTTTAAAATTGTGGGTTGATGGTTGACTGTAGTGAATAATGAAGAGAAGAATGGTTGTGGTGATCAGTCATAATAAAATGGCAAAAATAAATAATAATATTTATATTAACATTTGCCAACATTTCAACCCAAAGTTCAGACCTTCATCAGGTCTGTCTGTCAACTGCTTTCTGCAGTACCTGATGCAACTGATGAAGGCCTGAACTTCGGGTCAAAACGTCAGCAAATGTTAAAATAAATATTATTATTTATTTTTGCCGTTTTTATTATGACTGATCACCCCAACCATTTGTCTCTTCATATATAGTTTTAATATTAAATATATATATATAATATACTTTTCAGTATATAGTTTTTAAGTTTTTACTTTATTTTGTTAATATATATATATATATATATATATATATATATAATATATATATATATATATATATATATATATATATATATATAAATTGATAATAAGTTAGTAAGACTTTTCTATACTTTTGTTATATTTTATATTTGTTTTTTAACCATGCATTAATTTTTAACTTATTCCATCCCTCTTCTTCAAAAATTGTTATATAATGGCTGCTATTGTAATATATAAAAATATTCCATCGTTTAATTTTATGTGAAGTTGCTGCATTAAGACAAAAAAAGAAGTGTAGCAAGATCCTTGAAATTCATTAATTAATTTGTGTATCTCTCCTCAAACTGGCATGAAATCATAGGTTTTTCATAAATGAAGTATGCATATCAAGTTTATTTCATATTCAAATACATACAACAGGATGCTGAAGTAAATAGCTGCACTTTAAAGAAAATTCGGGTCCACTATTAAGGGTACAGAATTATCTTATACATTAATATAGAAATGGACATTAATCAAAGATGAAAAAAAAGGAATTTAGTGACATATAGGAAAATATAGCACCTTCCAAGAGCAAGAGCCATAAACATTGCAAAATGGTTTTATATGTATCCATACTTATTTCATTATCAATCTTTCATAAATGCTATTTTCCATACCCTGTTTTCGAATGTTTCATATTTAGTAGATAAATAGTGAATTTAATTACAATGAATGAATATAGTATTAAAAATAGGTTGGTACTCTCCTTAGTTTCTGTTAAAAATATGTTTCATTGACTTAGCGCCCGCTGATGACTTGGACGAACAATTCAAAAATTATAAATAAATAATTTAATACAAATAACAGTTGAATAGATAAGTTTTTTCATTGTTGAAACGTGTACTGGTTACAATTCAAAAAACAAATATACATAACTCTTGATAAATATCTAAATTTACAAAAATATATTTACAACATAACAATTATAAAATTTATAATTCCGTAATAGACCATACATTTAAATAAGAAATGTAGATATACATACATTTATGCTACTAAAATATTTATAGATAATACAAAATTGTATTTACAGAAAAAAAAAAAATAATAAAATAAGCTGGAGAATGAAATTAAAAAAATAAATATTGATATGTTTGCTGTTAGAAATGCTTGTTGGACCATTCAGATATTTTATATAAAAATTAAATAATTAATTAATAGAATGAATTCTCTCTATGTGAACAGATAAAGTCATAGGAAACAAATTATAATCGTTTTAAAGATATTTTCATTATTATTTCTTCCATTGGTAAATTCCATCAACATATTAAAACAATAAATTTCATATTTTTAATGCAATATAATGTCAACACAAATGTTATTAAGTTTGTTATTTAACTGCTTTATATCGATCTTCTGTTCATAATTACTCAATTTATATGTATTATTTTCTCTTAAGAAACTTCGAATTTTTATTGGAAAAGAACTTTCTTTATATGGAAGGAATTTCATAAATATATAGAATAAAAATTGTATGTATGTTTTTGATTATTTGATTTTTCTTTAATTCTAAAATAATTCATTTAACACTAGAAATGTAATTGTAATTGTTTTTTCATTTGAACTACATACATATCAATTAAATATAATATAAAATTGCAATATTTTAAAGAACCATTTTTTTTTTTTGGAACCTTTCAATTAGATATATAGAGGTCCAATTGCATTAATTAATAAAGATAAAATTATTGTTAGCTAAATATTCCACTTTATAAGTTTAAAGGAGTAGCTCTCCTTTACCCCATAATAAATTTAATAATAAATATATCTCATTTGCTTAAATACCATTTTGTATTACCTCTGAACTACTAGGTCATAGATGAGAAAGGAACATCTACGTGCAAAATGACCATATTATGATGTCAACAGCTCTCACAGGTGTAACAAACAGGGATTGTCAAAAAACATCACAACACTTACATTATATTTTACTATCCGAAACATTTATAAGGGAGATGTTCTAAAATGTAAATAAAACAGCTACTTAATTATGAGCTGCATAGAAACATCTATAAACACTGAAATGGTTCTTAACATACATATTTGAAAGTATGTTACTTCATTACCCTAGCCAATGATTTTTTTTTTTTTCTTTCTACTATAATCAATGATATTAGGCAAAAATGATCAGACTTATCGTCTATCTTGTTGGATCTCATTGGCTAGAGCATACAATCTGCCTACAGAACCGAACATACAATAAATATAATTGGACAATTCTCCATTGAAACATGTAATAATAGACTGGGACAATATTGAGCATACATTCCCTTGATGGTCTTAATAGTAGATTCCAGTATACTTCAAATTAAATATTCATTTGGCACTTCAGTGCAAAAGGTATGAATATTTTTTTAATACTTATTTTAAAATTTTAATCTTATATAAACCACACCAAAGTAAAAAAAAAATATTTTAAATAAAAATAAAATTGTTACAGTTTGAAAATAAAATATAGTGAAATAATGAGGGAATGTATGCCATATAGCAAGGATTTCTTCTTTGATTTCTTTTTAAAATTTAAATTTCATAATTTCTGAACCCTTTGACCAAATCGCTCGGTGGTTGATTTTCCCACTGGACGTTTGAGCGACCTCCCCAATGAATATTAGCTCCGCCCTCTGAAGCTCTCCTGTTTGCTGGAGGAGCTTTTTCGGAACTCTCGCCTCCTACACCAAGCATCCTATCCTTTGTTTTTAGGGTTGTCCAATGCATTGACTTACAATGAAAAATCATTAATTAATTATAAATGAATCATGAATATCTTGTATTGACTTAGTTTTATATTTACAGTAATATGTGACTGTAGTTTTGTGACAAGGATCCAACCAACAATTTCAATTTTGAGTTATTCATACAAAAGACTGGATTTTAACATTTTATAAGGAGATTCAAACACTCCATATGTTTTTTAGAAAAAAACAACAACATATAACTTTAATAAGAATAATGTATAATAATAACGCCAAAAAAAGCATATTGACTGCTTAGACATCTTTTATCTTTTGAAAAACAAGATCCAAGCATTCTATATTTCTTTCTTAGCTAAACAAGCGTGTACATTGCATGGATCTACTTTGAAGATGTCCAAATTTAGCCAATTGCATGAACAACTCAAAATGTTGAAATTGTAGGTTGGATCTTTGTTGCATAACCCTTAGAATATTGATAATTAATTGAATTTAAAAATAATCAATCTGTAAATTTTAATTTCATCTTAGTGCACTAATTAGAGGAAATTCTAATGAAGAAAAAAAAGTTATGTTTTAAGAGATTTGTTGAAGCATCTTTTTTTCAGTATTAGCAACTTTAAAACTGTAATTAATTGTGTATTAATTATTTATTTTTGAAAATATATTTCTTAATAAATACTGAAGAGATACTAGAAATAAATAATTTGATTACACTATATCCATACCTGATGAACATGCTCTTTCATTCCTAGCCACTGTTTATAGCTCATCGAAATACCACTGTTGCGCCATTTATCATAATTCTTTCTTTTTTCAGGATCACAAAGCACCTCTTTTGCTTCCTACATAACACGCAAAAAAGGTGTAGCTAAGAAATGAAGTAATTTAAAAAAAAAATTAATATATAACACATTTAACACAAAACTTGATGGCATTACCTTCATTTTTTGAAATTTAGCTTCTGCCTCTTTGTCTCCTGCATTCTTATCAGGGTGATACTGCAATGCTCTTGCTTTATATTCTGCAGTGATCTGCTCGACCTAAAATACAACCATATAATAAATAAATAAGTAGAGGTAAATATATATATTTGTAGATACATTTTAAAGATAAAATTGTCCATGTTATTACCTATTTTTAAGTTTTATGTATTTTCATGTGCAAACTAAACCACCTGTGTTTTGTATCAATCCACCTGCTTTATAGAGGTGGAACCTAGGCCTTGCTGTTTGGAGATGTGTTGTTTATCTTATGTACTACTGTAAATATTTGCATGTCGGTTGTTTGTTAATGAAACAGTGGAGAGAAACTTGACTCATTGAAGTAAAAATAATAAAAAAAAAACAAAAACATAATATGTTCCCTTAAACCTCAATGTAAAGCATAAATAAAGCACAATAGTAAAAATATTTTGTTATGAATACATACATATGTATAATAATACATATGTATGTAATCACTTTAATCATTAAAAAAAAAAAAAAAAATGCTTGTTTCCAATTTATGATAAAGAGGGTGATCACGTATACGGATAGCATAGGAATTTAACATTTCACACTTAAACTGCTGTAGAGATTGCAGCTTGGGGAGATTGACAATTAGTACAAAAACTACAACTTTAGAAAAATATTTTAATATGGAATTGTTAACTTCAGGGGTGCCCCTCTCCCAAGAAATTTCATTGCTATCCTCTTCTCAAACAAATTGTCGATTATTTACAGTTACACTTGCTATATTTTCCCTATACCCTCTTGTTCTCTGATTTAAAAGTTGCCCCAAATTGAAACCTCACAAAGATGTGTATTTTTTTTACAAAAATTTATAGCACCATCAAAAACTGTGATGGCACAACTTAATCTCCTCCAGGATATCCCTGGTGATCTTTATTGTAAATATTTAAAATAAATGTATAAATACCGATATATATTTTAGCTTCCCATATCGGGATTTCTCCGTTTCTAAATCTGCCCCGGCCACTTAAATCCAGATGTAGGAGAGTTTAATATAGTCATATTCAGTTAATTTTAAATACCTTTATTTAGTATTATTTTGCAGCAAAGAAATTTGCAAAATGAGGATCTCATCCACTCCTTTGGTGACTATCTCACACAGCTGAGGATCGAACATACTGATACATATACATAGACTGACACACCTCCATAACAAAAGATCTTATACCCAGATGTCAAAAGTGTGGGTCATTAACTATAAAACATGTTTCGGAAGAGTTGCCCTTTTTACACCGCAAGGCTAAAAGATCTGGGAATACACCAGAATATATCAGCATCTCTGGGAAATCAAAAAGAAATTATTACCAAAGATATGAAGTTCCTAGACAATGAAAGACTTATAAAACATATATGACAAGTTTATAACAAATGATCCTTTGCAGATTTATTTATTTTTTATTTTAAAAGTTCATTTATTTTATTAATTTCAATTCATTCATTGATTTTATTGCTATTTTCCAAATATTTATTTATTTATTTATTCTATCTTATTATCTATAAGTGTCTATTATTATCTTTATTTATTTATATTATTTATTTTTTTATTCTTTTTTTATTTTTATTTTTTGTACCAAACACCTAAACAGCATAAAAATGGTGTTATTTATTTGATCAGGCGTTGATGACCTGGATGTTTTGACATCCATGACATCGAAACAAACAAACTTCTGAGGAAGTAGGAAAAGAAGAGTTCATTCGGATGAAGGTACATTAAAATTTAATTTAGCAACATATCATGTATTATTACATATTATAAATGTATTTTTATTATATTACAATTAACAGGGATTTAGGATACTTGAGTCAGCAACCGGTCCGTAACCTATTGAATAATTTTTAAAGATGAGTTTCAATAAATAAACAATATTTATGATTGGTATTGGGTATTATAATGAGTATTGGTCTATTATATTTTTTTATTATTATTTAGTCAAATCTTTTTAAAAATCGAGGTTGGTTTTTCTTCCACTTAGCCAATTTTGAGCTAATGAAGTTGATAGAATATTGAAATATTTTAATTTCTTGTTTTTTAAATAATTTTTTAATACCATTATAACTAGATATTAAATTTCTATTTCAACTTCTAGAAATACACACACACATATATATATATATATATATATATATATATATATATATATATAAAATAATAAACTCCATATATATAAATCCATATAACTCCATACATATGTATATATATTATTTGAATTTGAATATTTTGTAAAAAAAAAAAAAAAACCTGTATATATATATATATATATATATATATATATATTATATATATATATATATATATATATATATATATATATGTATATATATTATTTGAATTTGAATATTTTGTAAAAAAAAAAAAAAAATACAATCTGCCACTTCTTCACTGCATATTGCTGATCGGGTTGCATTGATATTAAATAAAACAGGTTTAAAAACAAAAATAAAAAACAATGAAAATGAAGATAAAGAGAAAAAGTAATCTATATATAAGTGAACTAAAATGAAGATTTCAGTGCTTCACTCCATTCATGTCATTAGTGTTAAGCCAAAGAAGGTAAACTAAAGGCGCTTATCTAAGCATTATATTATAAGTAGTTCTAAAGTTATTTATTTTTTTTAGAAATTTTTTATTGCTGTGTTAATCCTAGAGAAGAATAAATGGAGTTTATTATTGACTTAATGGTTGGGTTACATCTAAAGTAATTTAGAAATTTTGGAAGGTATGAAAGGAGCACAGAATTTAAAAACAAAAATCTAGTCTTAAAGGTCATTAGGAGAATTCTTAAACTGAGACAATAGTCTTCAATGGAAGGAAACTGCAAGATGATGCATAGACCGAAATAATTTGCTGTGATGATGAAACTAGGGATTCCCAAGTACTAAGAAAGTTCCAAAGATTCATTCTCTTTCAGCACGGGCGGATCTACGGGGGGGGGGGCTTTCGGGCTGAAGCCCCCCCCAAAATGGTAAAATATAACCATGTTTTATCGAAAAAAATATTTAAAAAGTATCTCTTAAAGTATTATTATTCATGTTATTACATTTAAAAGGGCTTTAGGAATAACTTAAACACCATTTCATACAGGTAGTTAGTTTCTTTCTTTTTTCCAAAGTAATTATCGTTATTTTTATGAAAAAAAAAACTTTCGGGCTGAAGCCCCCCCCAAAAATAAATCCTGGATCCGCTAGTGTCTTTCAGTAAGGTTATAACTAAGAACGTTGGAATTCCTATGAACATACTGAAATTCTTCATAAAAGTTATTTGATCAAAAAACAAATAAAGAAATAAAAGGACATTTCGAAAAAGAAAAAAAAAAAAGGACTGGGGTAACTTCCTGAGGGAAATGAGAATTCGTCTATAAATAAACCTCCCATCGATTGATTTGATAAGAAGGGTTCTTATCCTTTTAAAGTAAACCAGCATCGATGGAGTTTTACTTTGACATGCGAACATGGATATTTGAAAGAAATTTGAATACTCAAGAAGCGGAACCACAATATTTTGTTGATTTGTAACCTTCTTTCATGATTTATGTCCTCAAATCTGAAAGTTAAAATACGAGACTATTCTGCAGTCTACAACTGTTTGGGTAAATTTAACGTGAATAATACTTTGAAAAATATGTGATATCCGAGAATTTAGTATTTCTTATAAAATGCTTATCAGGGTTCTTATTATTATAGGATTATAGGGTTCTTAAGAAGTGCTTATTATTAGGATTCTAATCGAAACAAACAAATAGGCTACTAATCATATATGTACATTAGTTTGCTATGAATTAAAAGTATTAAATCAATGAAGAAATTACTAAAACCATAATGTATAATATTCAAAGAGATTGTTTAGAATAAAAGTTGATTATTTTATAAGCTGCGGAAAGTTGGTTGTAACTAAATAATTTTCCTTTTTAGAATCAGAGGTCTTTCATTACATTTTAATTTTTTATCTAGAATATAGTCAGTTTTTTTGTATTAAAAAATTATTACACGATTATTTTCGGTAAAAACGTTTCGCCATGTTTCCTTAACTCCTTGTTAAAGCCACTTACTTTATTTATTTATTATATTCACATTATATTCACCACTATTCATTTATTTATTTTGTATTTCAAAGGTTTTAGTGAATTTAATTTATATGTTTACAAATGCTCGATGTCTGAAATATAAATTTTCATTTTGGTTAACAACTTTTTTTTTCAATTTCCGGATGAATAAAATACTTCCTTAATTTCGGTAGTTAAGAAGTAAAATGTTTTTAAATGGGGATACTGCAACAAAAAAGAAAACAAATGTTTTCTTGAATTACTAAAAATTCAAAATAGCTGTAATGATTTACAAACGACCGGAAACACTTAGAGCCTTTTTTATTGCTGTTTCACTCATGATTGAGGTAGCCGCAATGAACATCAGTACATCAGTATTTTCATTCCTACTTTCGTAAGTTCACCAAAAGTGCTTGTAAATCAGGAGAAGCCCTCAGATTACAGTAATCAGCTAATTAATTTATTTATTTCTGGAACTATTAATGACAACTACTAACATAAAGTTTAAAGTAAAAATAAAAAAGAAAAATAGAATCCGATCGCCCATTCAGATTGATAAATCATAAGATACAATAAACGATAAACAAATCTCAGTAGATTTATAAAATTGATACCAATCTCAGCCGCGAAATTATTAGAGTTAAAGTGAATGCCAATTCGCTGAAACGAGGGCAACTGGGTTACGCAAACAATAAATGGTCCCCAGGGCTGTTACACTTATTGACTCATCTGGCTCTGACATGAGAAGACTTATCCCCTGTACTTCCCAAACAAGGAGAAGAAATTACTAACAATACATTTTCCTTAACCAATAATACGAAAACGGAGTGGGAAGACTGAAGCACTAACATCTGTCCGGCTATTCTCTCTTTGTCTCTTCATTTTTTGGTAAGTGTGTGAAGAATGTGGAGGTAAAAAAGTATCTAGTTAATTAAGACCCGAGATAGTCCGTGGTACACACCCCTTTTTATGAATTATTAACATCCGGCTAAACTTCGTAAATAGCTTCATCTCATCGTAACCTACAAATATTTTATTTACGAAAATTCTCGGAACTGGGGCGTTTTCAATCAGAAGATCGGCAAACTCTTTCCGCTTGGCTCATAAGATAACTTGATCACAAAATCATCAAAAAAAGGTGGCCTACAAAAAATATTGGGCTGTTCGACCATCATAACCTCGTTATTTTGACAATTTAGGGTTGTAAGTCACGCCAAACGGCTCAATATTTTAAACGTCCCAATTACGAGAATTTTCGTAAATAAAATATTTGTAGGTTACGATGAGATGAAGCTATATACGAGGTTTTTGCCAGATATTAATAATTTGATAAAAAGGTGTCTGTACCACGAACTAAGAGTTAATCATATAGTAACATGTGAAGCAATAAAGATTTTATTTATTTTAAGTTATGTAATATTGAGTTAAAAGTGAGACCTTATTTATGGAAAAAAATTGCCTCTGTCATGAAAGTGTTCCATGAAATCTTTTGGATTGGCCAGGCCTCTAGACGAAAGAAAAGCATCAGAAATTAAAGTTATAGTTAAATCTATATGTATATATAAATCTTCCCTAATAATAGGAATGAATTGAATTTATACATTTATTGAATCGCGATTACCATTATCAGCAAGGTTATTGATTTTTTCTTTTCTCTTATATCTCTTATATCTTTCTGATGTGTTAAAAATAATTTAATTTTTAAAAAAATTGACTACAGTAATAATACTATAACCTTAAGATATTGTACTTGTTTATCTACTTAAACGCAATGGTAAATTAAACAGATTGATGTCTAGGAATATTTAAATTTGGTGTATTAATCGGGTGTCTTCCACTACACTTCAGAGGAGCCCATACTCCCCATGGTCTATGGCATAGGATTCATCCCCTCCTCCCCTCCTAAGCAATTTTGTTACCTATCTCTTCTTAAAACATTCATGCGAAAGTAGAATTAGGAAAATCGTAGATCATGTACAATTAAACTTGTATAGTTTTATGTAATCTGGTCCATGTTTTTTTTCCCTTATTACCTGGATTGAAACTTTTAATTCTCAAAAATTCATAACCCAGTAGAAATTTGCCCCTCCCCCACCATCAAAAACCGCTTGGAAATGTGCTCCCATCATAAGTTTTGAGGGCGCAACTTGCGTGAATGAAACCCCCTTCTGGGCACCCCTGCTACACTTTATAGTCCCTGTAAGTATATTTCGTCCAATGTATTTATTGGTGCAAGTTCAATATCCGATAGAGTTCCGTTTGTGGAAGGCACCTAACTACAAGTACACCATGTTTGAATATTTAATGGATGTCAATTTCGATGGCTATAAATCTACTTGTGTTACCCAAATGCGAAGCCGAGTCGAGTCTTGGTCTTGCTAACTCAGTCTTGGTCATGGTCTTGGTCTTTCGTAAGAGTCTCGCAACAGTCTTGCAGTTACTTATTAGCTTATTACTATAAAGATATTACTGTAAGTTTTTAGATAGGAGAAACCTAACTATGCCCGAATGAAAAATCAGAGAAGTTAAGTGCAAAAGTATATTGGTTATACCAATTATTAGCATATAGCAACTAAGATTTTCAAGTATTAGTAACCATTTACCTTAATTTTTATTTAAAACATCGATTTTTTTTACCAGTGCTGGTCTTGGTCTTGCAAATCGCAAGACCAATTTTGGGCAAATTGCAAGACCGATTTTGCGCAAATTGCAAGACCGATTTTGCGCGACAATAAAATCTACCAATGTGTTAAAGTTCATTTCCTACAGGCTGGATTTCCTGTTGTAAGCTTTTTTTTATTAAATTAAATTATATACTGTTTAACGTTTTAGCAAAATAATTTATGATAATGATAATGAATATTAAATCGCTAAATAATTTATGCCATCAAACTTAAAAATCGATCCAACCACTCATTCAAAAACTCGTTACATACCTAATATCATTCAGCATTTCACTCTTGGTAGCTTCACCGTGGTAGGTAGTAAAAAATATAAGCGATTGTGAATAAAAATGTTAATCTTAAAGATACCCAACTTCTTTGTTTTACATTATTTTAGTTTTGGTTATGATGCAGAATACATAAATGTATTTTAACTATATGTTTTTTTTTTAAATAGCGGTTGTTGATAAAGTTAATAATAATAATAATAAATATAAGAATAGAGTTTTAAATTAAAAAACAAAACAGAATAAGCACGCTCCTAAATGAGCCGTCACCACTCTGTTAAACTGAAAAAAAAAATTAGGGGAAGTTGTATCATGAACAGGGATTTTAAAATGGTGCCTTCTAAAAAAAGATCCCATTTAACAAAATGGTAGTTGCTTCCACAGAGATAAAGAGATCTTTCTAACGGCCTCTCCCCAAAGAGTATAAAATAAATCACTCGGTAGGGAAGAAGGGATGATCGCTCTCGCTGATGTTCTCCTCGCCTCGGGGTGTTTATGTTGCTCTTATGTTACACGATAAGACCTTCAAAAATCACGGCCATAAAAAATACAGTGAGAGGTGTCTATGTTGTAGCTGTGCTTTATGTGAGGCTAATATTCTGAGCCGTCGCGTTGGGACTCGTAGGAAATTTTACCAGAGTCCCCTCACACTATTCCAAATCGATCCTATTTTCTCATGTTCGCTAATTATACTTATTATACGCAGGTTTGCACTTCCACCATAAACTTTTAATCTCAAACCGACTTATTATTTTTATAACATCAACTTAAACTGAGTTTAAAAATGATAGGAAGGTTTCTATTCAGCGTTGTTCTATTTCACAAATCTTATCTAAAGGGACAGAGGGCTTGTTTCAAGCAATTTCCGATTTCGGAGATAAAATTCGAAAGTGTGCTTATCAGTTGGACTTCTAAGCGATTAATATATAAGCATCAGTTATAGTCAAAGAGTTTGGCATGGGATCGGTGTGTACATTTTAAAGTTCTCAGATCTCAGGAGTTCAGGGTGGACGAACTATCTGAAACTAAATGTCAATAACACTCTTCTCCGCGAAGTTCAAGGTACAGCCGCCGTAAATGTTGCCGAGAGTCAGAAAGCCTGGTATTGGATTTGAATTGGACAAATGCTTGCTCCTTGCCATTAGTGTTGCCCATATGCGAGACCGAGACGAGTCTTGGGTCTTGCAAACTCAGTCTTGGTCATGGTCTTCCGCAAGAGTCTCGCAACAGTCTTTCAGTTACTTATTAGCTTATTAATATAGAGATATTACTGTCATTTTTTAGATAGGAGAAACCTAACTAAGCAGGAATGAAAAATTAGAGGAGTTAAATGCAAAAGTATATTGGTTATACCAATTATTAACATATAGTGACTAAGATTGTCTAGTATTAGTAACTATTTTGCTTTAATTTTTATTTAAAAAATCAATTTTTTTTTACCAGTCATGGTCTTTGTCTTGGGCAACATTACTTGCCATCCATCGGCACAGTAATATAGAAAAACGATTAGAAGGATTCCAGTGTATAAAAAAATATAGTTGTTTCCTTGAAGTTTTCTGTTAGGATATAGACAACTTAGCAATGTTCGTGGAGATTTTAACGTTCAATACGAAAAGGAAGGAAGTTTTAATAGTAGATCTCACAATAATATGCGAAATGAACTATGAAAATCAAGACATCAAGATACAACTTGAAAAAAAGGTCATATATAAAAAATACATTTTATACTTACAAGAAAATTTTAGAGAAGATTTTTTGGTTTAAGGATCTTTGTTCGGGAGTGAGAGGAATCTCTTTCAACTGGTAAGTTTTTCGAAAATCTTTGTTTTAGAAAAAGATGAGGTACAGAGGATAGCGGAAAATATTATTTGCGACCAGATGAGAATCACCAATAATTAATTTTGATCTTATCTTTGTAAAATATTGATAGAAGGATAAAACCAAAAAAAAATCTTAAAATGTTTCCGTCTAACCTTCTCCTTTTTGTGTTTTTTTTTCTTCTAAAATTTGATCTAATGAATTGATTAGTGTGCTGTGTTAATTAGCAACTCAACATAGTTGAGTATCCACTTCTCTTCTACTTGATAGTTGGTAGTGCATACGGTGTATTTCTGGTTCACAAAACCACTTTTTGTTTCAATGTTTTTCATCTTTCTTTTTTCACTTATATTTACGACACGTCAAAATATTACTTCTGACCTGGAATACACATCCCTCTAGGTCGATGGGCATATCCTCCTCCAAAGAAATACTATTTCTCTTCTCTTCTCTTAAATACAGTGAAAGAGGAAGCAGAATAGGAAAAGTTGTTGATATAAAATTACACTTGTGTCTGTTCCATGTCTTTTCCTTTAAAATGTTGATATTAAATCTACAAAATATCGTTCCTCCTAAAATTCATACCAAAACCGAAATATCATAAAAATGTCTCCCTCCTCAAAAATCTACATGGCGCAACTTGCGCCATTCGACCACTTTCTGGGAAGTCCTGCTTCTGACTCAGTTTTAGTTTTCGTTGTTAGAAAAATTACAAACCGTCTAGAGATTCGACATTTAGCAGCTTTTGATGTAATAGTAAATGTATACCGAAGTATGATTAGTGATTTTATTAGTTTACTTGCCAATTCGGAAAAGTTATAGAGGAAGCCTGGTAAAATTTCTTCTCGGACGCCTACAGCCGACGAGAATATTACTCCTGCTTAGGATAGTACTTCAGGTCGAAAAAGGCGTAGGTAATATATGGCGGAATAATTAATCTATATAAAAACAATAATGTGATAATTAAAACACTTAAATTATATTTCAGTTGTATTAATTAATCTTTTGTTAGTCCATTTTTCTTTAGTTAAAATCTAGATGACCCCCATGATACCCACTGAAGGAACAGCTGTCTTCACAGCTGCTTTGAACAAAAGCTTAGTTCAGAACTTGACCTTTTTGAGAGCCTTTGAGACAAGATATCCGCTCGATAAAGCCCAATATGAGAGTGTTGAGGAAATATTCTTGAATAGGAAATCTCTTACATTGTTCGCCAAAATCGAAGTATAATTTTTTAGTTCTTTTTCAAATGAAATGAAATAAATGTAATGCCCGATTCCCGCACATTGTTTCTCCAAATTTAATTATAATTTTTATTCATATATCATTCATATTTTTTTTTAGGGTTATTACTTTCAATAATTTAAAAAAAATATATAATCCCCACCGAAGGTTGAAACGGCAATGGCCTCGAGATCTTTTATAAATATTCTAATGGACTTCTGGCAGTGGCCAGATTCTCCACTCAAGTCCTGAGCGTATGTGGATTTAACGCTCTTACTCAGTCTCCACTCGCTTTTAAACAGTGATGCGGCTAGGAGAGAAGCGCTGGGATCTCCCAGAGCCCTGCCTTGCATTTCACGTGAGATTGGCAAGGCATGGTTCGGAGTTCCCAGGTTGAATGTAAATATTGTACTTAGGAATGAATGTGTGTATTTTTTTTTTTTTGTATTTTTTTTTCTTTTTACAAGTTTTTCTTCTTTGAATTTAATGTATATATATTTACTTCCGTGTTTTCTTCTTATTTTTTTTTCTCAATTTATATTTAAATTGTGTATAAAATGTATGAATGTAAACATAGAGCAATAATGGTCAATGCTAGATTGTGGTAGATTTTTCTTCAATAAAAAAACTCT